ACTTATGCTAAGGAGTGTTAATTGACATTCCTTCAAATAGTACATGACTAAGTATATCGAATTTCTAACCAAATTACGAGTTATGAAATTACATGGTAAATTCACTTTATATTTTCTATAACAATAATATCACTCCGTGTTTTACCCTATGTTGCTTTAACTTTTCAAAAATGTCATCGAGCGTGTGTCTGATCCTTCAAAAGAAATGCATTTTTGGAGGACTCAACACAGGTACGACAACATTTTTAAAGAGTCCGAGCAACTTAGGTATTACCTATTATCTCACAAAATTACTAATGTGATATCATGAAAGGAAACTTGGATGATATACATTCCCTTTAGCTTGAGTCCAGAGGCCACAAATTGGCGAGTTGGGCTGAATTTAGACAAATTAAAATAGGTTGAAGTTATTTGAGCTAAAAAGCAGGTCAAAATCCATATATCAAATAAAAAAAGAATCTTTTGAAACTGTTTTGTTTTCCAACAAGTGTTTGGTTCTTGTATCGAGACTCCGATCCTAATGAATTCAGATTCACACCGTGAAGGCCCATTAAAAGAGAAGTGCGGTTTTTCCATTCTTAGGACCCAAGAGTGTAAAATAAAATTCCTTCAATTTGCAACATGAGATTCAAGAATTTGTTGGAAGAAACCTTGAATGTTTACTTACCATTATTAATTACATAACATGGAAAAGAAGAAGAAAAATTAGACGCGGCCAGAAAATTACCATATTCTGAAAACTACTACTAAATATATTTTAGGGACAAGGGTCAAAAATACCCCTCAACTTTGTTTTATTGGTTGACTAAACCCTTACCGTTAAAAAGAAGTTAGTTTTACCCCTGCCGTCTACAAACTCATCATATGTACCCTCCAAATTAACGATTTGCCCCAAATCAATCTCAAATTCTCAATTTCGACCCGAATTACCCATTTAAAACTCATTTAGAATGAAATTCTTTTCTAATCTGATCCGACCCATATAAAACCCACCACCATTATAAACAAAAGTTAATTTAATTTTCAATTTTCTCAATCTTGTTGAGTCCACCAAAACTAAAAAGAATGGATTTCTCCCTTGTCATTGAATTTGTTGTAGTGTTACTCATTCTATAAATATTTTCAAAGCCATTGTTAAAAGCTTCTAAGGGTACTAATTTTTGAATTGGAGCCTGAAACTTGAAGAACCAACCATGGAAACTTCATAGCCATTAATGGAGCTTGGAGCTTGAGTTTGAATTTCGGATTTTACAAGCGAGTTCCAACTTCGAAAAATCAATAATTTCAACTTCTTCCCCAAAATACCCAAATCGAAAACATCCCACCCATTTCTTCACAACTGAAATCACAGATCTGAATTTGTGTAATAAATTAGATAATTCCCACCCAAAATTGCAGCAGCATGAACCTTTTAGTTTCTTTCTTCTTGTTGTTTTCTGGCTCCTAACATTGCTTCTTAAAAGCTCATTAATGGCTGGAAATTTATTTGTTCATTAGGAATTGAAATGGGTTTTGGTGAATTCATTACTTTTTTTTTTTATACATTTGGTATGTAAGATCAGATTAAATGGGTTATGGGTCGGATTTAATTGATAATTTGTTTTTAAAGGGGTAATTCGGGTCGAAATTGAGAATTTGAGATTGATTTGGGGGAAATCGTTAATTTGGAGGGTACATATGATGAGTTTGTAGACGGCAGGGGTAAAACTAACTTCTTTTTAACGGTAAGGATTTAGTCAACCAATAAAACAAAGTTGAGGGGTATTTTTGACCCTTTTCCCTATATTTTAACATAAAGTATCTATAATATTCATGACTTGTAAATAAGTTTTGAAATCAACAAGTTAAAAACTATAAAACCTTGCCTCTTTGCCTTCAAAACTCTTGTCTAGTTCCAAATCCATGTCAAACATAGTTCGTCCTTGTGTAATATTCGCGATTGTTTTAGCCATTATTCTAGTACTACTATTTTTGTTCATAAAGTTCATATGTGCGCCTTTTCAAGAAAGAGCAGCTCGTTATGTAGCAGCATCAAGAGCTTGTGAAGAAAGAGCTCGTGAAATATTAGCAGAAAGAGCTTATTTTTATGCAGAAGCTCGTTTTTATGCAGAAGCTTATTACTGGGCAACAAAAGCAGTGACTCCGCCAGGAACCAACAGTGAGTGTTGTATCTGTTTAGGAGAATTCGAAAAACAAGACAATGGTGATGCTGATGATGATACGATAACTCTTCCTACTTGCTATCATAGGTTTCACGCGACTTGTATTATGTCATGGTTGTTACTAGCAAAGAAAAACACATGCCCCTTCTGTCGTACTTGTATTAGTACCACTTTCATCAGATGCATATACTGGAACTTTCGACATCTAATCAAGCCATCGTCACAGCTTACAGTTACTTGAATTTCATTGTATCGTTACTTTATTATACTTCACTATTTAAGAGTTTAAATTTTCACTCATGTCCCTAAATTCAAGAGTACAGGAACTAAGGCACTATCTAGACCTAATAAGGTTGCATAGGAATAAAGTTCAAATCTTTATTGAAGCACTTCCTCTATTTACTAATCTTGCATAATCGCGGTGAATACAGAGCAAAGAATACCAACTTGGAGTCTTAGTTTCATAAACTTTGCAAAATATCTTCAAATCCACCCACCCTAAACTGTTTGGGATTCAATAACAAGTCTCTCCAGATTGCTTTAAACTCAGGTACACATGAACCAAATCTTGCAAAAGCCTGATTAAGTTCCTCCCTATCTTCAAACACAACGAAAATCTCTCCCTCAAAATTCAACCTCCATTCTTTTCAATGCGTATATCATAGTACTCTATAATGATCAGCTAATAAACGAAGAAACATGCATAAAGCTATAGTCAAAACCAATGGTTCTTCCTCTAATAAGCAACCCCAATATGCTATCCAAACACAAGCATAAACTTCCCTCCTTAAAAGCGCGACGAACATTTCATCAAATCCTATAGCCAATACATTCATCATCTCTTTAGTAGCTGAATTTTTGCATACAATTCATCAACAATCTTAACAAGCATACACGTAAAATAACTACAACCATCAGTGATAGATATTGACTATGAACTTTTGCCAAATGGGGTTTGGTTAGAATCCCAGAAATTATACCTTTATTCAAGTTCGAGTATTCTTCTTGCGTGTATGCAGACGTTACCCCTTTGTTTTAGAGTGGTAAGTTTTACATAGTGTGGTTATAAGAGTTAGTTAATTAAAATGATTTTTGAACGAGATATGTTTGATAGTAGAAAATTACAAAGTGTATACTATATAGTAATGACTTTGGGGCTATAATTTTACGTGCAGTATTTTCCTTGCTACGTAAGTAGTTAAGAATCTTCAACATTAATCTGGTTTCTAGATTGATCATGTCAATTAATTAGATTGAGACTCGTGATCCAACTAATCCAGATTTGCGATACATAAGGACTATTTTCTTGATTGACTACACATTTGGGTTAATGTAGACCACAATTCATGACCTGACTAATTCAGTTTCATGTTACATAAGGATCATTAAGAAGAAAGTTTTTCTCATAGATAGAAATCCCATTTATTTCTAAAACTCAAACATATACCTTTTGGGTAACGATAAAAGTATCACATCCATACCACCACACTCCTAAGCGGTATTCATGACTAGTGGCGCAGAGCCACCTTACGCTAAGGGGTGTTAATTGACTTTCCTTCAAATATTACATGACTAGGTATATCGAATTTCTAACATTACATGGTAAATTCACTTTATATTTTCTATAACAATGATATCACTCCGTGTTTTACCCTATTTGCTTAACTTTTCAAAAAATGTCATCGAGCGTGTGTCTGATCCTTCAAAAAAAATGCATTTTTGGAGGATTCAACACAGGTACAACAATATTTTTAAAGAGTTCGAGCAACTTAGGTATTACCTATTATCTCACAAAACTACTAATGTGATATCATGAAAGGAAACTTGGATGGTATACATTCCCTTTAACTTGAGTTGAGAGGCGACAAATTGGCGAGTTGGGCTGAATTTAGACAAATTGAAGTTACTTGAGCTAAAAAGCCGGTCAAAATCCATATATAAAATAAATAAAAAAGAAACTTCTTGAAAACGCTTTGTTTTCCAACAAGTGTTTGGTTCCCATATCAAAACTCATTCTAATCCTGATGAATTCAAATTCACATTGTGAAGGCCCATTAAAAGAGAAGTGCGGTTTTTCCATTCTTAGGACCCAAGAGTGTAAAATAAAACTCCTTCAATTTGCAACATGAGATTCAGGAATTTGTTGGAAGAATACTTGAATGTTTACTTACCATAATTAATTACATGACATGGAAAAGAAAAGAATTAGACGGGGCCAAAAAATTACCATATTCTGAAAACTAATACTAAATATATTTTAACATAAAGTATCTATAATATTCATGACTCGTACATAAGTTTTGAAATCAACAAGTTAAAACTATAAACCCTTCCTCTCGTCTTCAAAGCCCTTGGCTAGTTCCAAATCCATGTCAAACATAGTTCTTCCTTGTGTAATATTCGCGATTGTTTTAGCCATTATTCTAGTACTAGTATTTTTGTTCATAAAGTTCACATGTGCACGTTTTCAAGAAAGAGAAGCTCGTTATGTAGCAGCATCAAGAGCTCGTGAAGACAGAGCTTGTGAAATATTAGCAGCTCGTTTTTATGCAGAAGCTCGTTACTGGGCAACAAGAGCAGTGACTCCGCCAGGAACAAACAGTGAGTGTTGCATCTGTTTAGGAGAATTCGAAAAACAAGACAATGGTGATGCTGATGATGATACGATAACTCTTCCTACTTGCTATCATAGGTTTCACACGACTTGTATTATGTCATGGTTATTACTAGCAAAGAAAAACGCATGCCCCTTCTGTCGTACTTGTATCAGTACCACTTTCATCAGATGCATATACTGGCACTTTCGACATCTAATCAAGCCATCGTCACAGCTTACAGTTACTTAAATTTGATTGTATCGTTACTTTATTGTACTTCACTATTTAAGAGTTTCTATTTTCAATCATGTCCCTAAATTCAAGAGTACAGGAACTATGGCACTATCTAAACCTAATAAGGTTGCATAGGAATAAAGTTCAAATCTTTGTTGAAGCACTTACTTCTACTTACTAATCTTGCATAATCGCGGTGAATCCAGAACCCATAGAAAGAGAAGTTATACTGCATATTGAAGCTCAAGTGGTTGAACACAGATGTTATAGAATTCACCATCAAAGAAAAGCCAATCCTAAAACAACGCAAGCTTTAAATTTGCTTCGATATAACTCTTCTTGCAGGACGTTAATAGCCAACCAGTCACAACTCATCTTGATAAGATATCTGATTTCACCAGATGGACGAACAGAACAACATATAAACCTAACAATGTCAGTCAAAACTGTTTCTTTTTTTGACAAAGGTAACAGAGTCAAAACTGTTTCTCTTTCAGGTACTCTAAGAAACTTCTTCGCGAACCAATCTTGGTACCTCATTTGGCTACCGAACTTCACACGTGTAAGCAAAAACCTCAATTGGGTTTCCATTTCAGTAGCTATACAGAGGTTTCATAAACTTTGCAAAATATCTTCAAATCCATCCACCCTAAACTGTTTGGGATTCAATAAGAAGTCTCTCCAGATTGCTTTAAACTCAGGTACACATGAACCAAATCTTGCAAAAGCCTGATTAAGTTGCTCCCTATCTTCAAACACAACGAGAATCACTCCCTCGAAATTCAACATCCATTCTTTTCAATGCATATATCATAGGATTACTTGGTACTCTATAATGATCAGCTAATAAATGAAGAAACACGTATAAAGCTTTAGTCAAAACCAATGGTTCTTCCTCTAATAAGCAATCCCAATATGCTCTCCAAACACAAGCATAAATTTCCCTCACAAGAATCCCCATTTAAACTTCGCCTTAAAAGCACGACGAGCAATTCATCAAATCCTATAGTCAATACATTCACAATCTCTTTAGTAACCCAAATCAGCTGAATTTTCACTGAGTAAAGTAATTGTGCATACAATTCCTCAACAATCTTAACAAGCATACACGTAAAATAACTACAACCATCTTGCCGAGGGCCTGTGCACCCCCGGGATTAGTCGGGGCTCAAAGAGACTCGGACACCCGGTGCAAATCAAAAAAAAAAAAAAAAAAAATAACTACAACCATCAGTGATAGATGTTTAATATGAACTTTTTGCCAAATGGGGTTTGGTTAGAATCCCAGAAATTATAGCTCCATTCAACTTCGAGTATTCCTCCTCTTGTGTGTATGCAGACCTTACCCCTACCTTGTGATGGTAGGGAGGCTGTTTACAATAGACGTTCGGCTCAAGAAAACCTGCATATATATCATCATGGTAAACTAGTAATCCTTGTAGTAATTAATTCACTTGCTTTCTACTTAGTAGAGAATGTGTGACCTCCCGTTTCGTGGTTTCTCATTTTTCAGAACTAATGAACTAGGTATGCTATTGACTTATCCAAATGTGAACTGAAAGCAACAAGCCATAAAGAGATAAATGATTCTTGGCAATACTGAAAAACATGTAAGGTCACTAGAAAGCAAAACAAGTTTGAAATGAAAACAATACTTCAATGATATTATTGCTTTAGCAGGACAAAAATGAATATCGGACAACTTAAAATTTAGAAAGATCTCAGCACCTATAGTACCAAAAGTAGACAAAAACTGTTAAGGAGCCAGAGTTTTCTGGAGTGGTTCATACAGATCGGGTACCTGATCCTTGTACGGCAGCACGAAAGTTTCTATGAACTTTTTCTCTTTTAAGCTCACAACAGTATAAAGAGCCACCTTTCTCCTCTCAAGCTTCTTTTCGTCCAAAATTTTCAAGACTTGCATCCGAGGTACGACCCTTTTTTCCATACTATATATCAAAATTGAAGGATGAGAAGCTAAGTAAGCAGATTCAAAACCAAGCTCCTTCATAAAAAGACTCAATCCTTTCTGAATTTTAACCTCTGACAGAGCAATACAATAAGGTAACTTCCTAAACATCGTAAGTATATCATCATCCGACCATCCAAAACTCTTAAAAATCTCAAGCTTTTTTTCACACCTCGCCTTCTTTTGCGAGGCTAATGTATGAAATCCATAAGGAAACATAGACGAATCAGGCGAAAGTCGAAAATCCTTCTCTACCCTATGCAACAAATCCTTAACCCACTCAGGCTTCTGTGTAATATACCTCGGATTTCTAAGCACAAGTTTTTGTATTGAATCATCAGAAACACCATAATTTTTCAACAATAACAAATTATTTTCCATTACATTACGACCACCAAATGAAAGCAACCAAGATGTTCTTTTTATAGCTTTAACAACATTTTCATCACTACCCAATGTTCTCCTTAGACAATTAATTTTAGGTTTCAAATGAGTAACTAAACCCCTTTCAACAATCGTTGAATCTTTAGCAATCACATTCACAAGATCCGAACCCGACAACCCGATATCCATCAAGCATTGAAATTTGGGTTTTAGGGTTTTGGAAACATCGTAAAATAGAAACTTGGGTGATGTTGAAACCAGTTTTTTCATCTGGATCTTGTCGAAACCAGTTTGTTTCAAGAAATTGAGTACTAAATCTGGATTTTTCTTTAAAGATTTCCATGAATTTACCTTGGTAGATGCTAATGATGCTTCTTCTTTGGAGAATCCGAGTGAATTAATCAGGTATTTCACGAAAAAATTGGTCCGGGCTGAGGTTGAGTAGAGATACTGAGAACTGAAACAGTGAAATCTTGATAGAGCTTCAGATTTGCCTCTGAATCTGACGAGCATTTCGTTTAGCTGTTTCTATCAACTTTGCAGAGAAGAGAAGAGAAATGTTTGGTTCACTGTGTAAGGGTCAACTATAGTCTAATTATTTTATGGAAAAAAATAAGTCTATTATTTGAAATAAATTAAACTTCGGTCAAAAATCAAGCGCGTGAGTTTTTTATTCGAACTATCACTAAATATATCTGAATGCTGTTGATTTTTTGATAAGAAAATGAACATTGGTAGTTGAAATATGTTTGGTAATACAAACTCTCTTTGAGCTCAAATTCTATGAATTCATTAGTGACGATCATCATTTTCGGAAGGCGAACACCGCCTTTTCGGAATTTATGTTTCAAATTCGATATTATCTTAATTTTGAAAAGTGTATTAATTCATAATTTTTTCAAAATATGTGTAACCAAGTTTGTTTGAGCACAAATTTCTTGGGTCCGTTGAAGACAACCCCTTAAATGATGCTCATTATTTTCAAGAAATGTACAATGCTTTTGTGGAGCTTGTGTCACTAACAAGAATCAAGGATAATATTATTATCACTTTTTGGTAGGTATTAATGTTTGTAAATTTTTTAAAATATGTGTGATCGACTCTATTTGAACTTGAATGTTATGATACATTGATGGCAACCTTTTAAACGCTAGTTGTATCCGAAAGAGGAACGTTGCTGTTTTTGGAGTTGGTACAATATTTGATTAGATGCAAGACATTGTAATTTGTATACATTAACCATGAACATAAATGACACATAAAACTAACATATGTACCTTGTTATCCTATCACAGTGTATACAATAGTCATCAACTGTCCAAATTTAAATCACAAATCAAACAAGCATACGTACCTACTTATCATATTACAAACGTAAAACTCAACTAACTACCTAGGAAGACGAAACAATCTTGAGCTGATTAGCTAAGCAGTAGCACCGCGCACCATCAGACAAGAAAATTTTCATCTCACAAGCTTGCTTGGTTATGTTTCTATCGTCCTCTGCCTGAAAAAGAAGTGGGAATCATACACACATATATATAGGAGAAGAACTGATATATGTCAGCGTTAACATTATGCGCGTAAAAAATGGATGCATTGGCGCAACTCTCAAAAGTAGAATTGCAGATTAGACAACAAAACTTGCTAACTACCGAGAGTTTCTGTCATGGGCTTCCATCATTCTGGTTTTTGAGAAAAGTATAATCTCATCCTGATGATCAGCACAAAGGGAAAATATTGATCTGACCAAGACATAAGAGTACATGCCAGATGAAATAACGGTGGCTCCACACGGGGGGTTGTCGAAGGTTCTTATGGGTGCATTAACTACAATCCAAATAATGCATGAGAGTTGGATGAGAGATATTACAGACCTGAGGACGTAAGTCGCAAATAAAAGTCAGCAGTTTTGATAGATCATATGCTTCACAGTCTCTCTACGCACCCGAGTACGGGTGACCATAGGGCTCTTGTTATGAGGAAAACCATCCATGTTGTGATCTTTGCTAACCACAGTAACTGTTTTCCTACCAGCTTCATCCGCTTTTCCAGTCGCTCCTTTTAGCACATCAGCAGATCTCTTTTTGTCCATCTCTTCTTGAATAGGAACTGGTCCTAGAGTACAGGTAAAAAGAAGAAAAAAACGCCTTGAATTGAGATCGAAGAGCTGCAATTCGATTTACGTGGACAAAATAGTCCCACACGGACAAACACAAAAATACATATTTTGCGTGCTGCTCGCAGCAAGCATTGTATTTCATACCAATCATCTCAAATCGCAACTTGTCAAAACATATACCTATAAACCTAATCAAATATATATCTATATTTTAAATCCTTGCTTGTACTCTTCTCTTTGAGATTAGCTTTAGTTATTAATAAAAACTAGCCTGGGCACCCTACCTATCAGAGTCAGAAAAAAAACATCATCTTGAATCCTATTTATCTCCAATCTTAACAAAGGAAAGCCATTGATCTTTCGTCACATTGTTCTCAACTCCCCTCACCTCTTGGGCGAGACGAGCTACCTTAAGATATGAGCCTCTTTTCCTTCTACCCAGCTCCCCGAAAACAACATTCGAATAGCACATTTTAATGATATAGCTCGCGTTCCTTCTAAACCAAAATTATTTCAAGTACGACAAGTCCATTATGCACTTGAAGTGAGCTTGAGTTTGTCTGATCATCCATAGTATTGGCCTCGCGAGTAGGGACTTTCTTATTGTATCAATCTTCATACTAGCTCGCCATACGAACATGCCATTCATAAAAGTATTACCTATAGAGTAAGTAGCTAAAGCAAGCAATCGTAGGTACGCTAAGTTTATATATTATCTTATATACGATACGCAGATATGGGAAACATATTACTAGCGTATATGTTGTAGGACGGTTACTGAAAGTGGCCGGGAATGAGTACCTATCCATTACGGAAATCGAACCCGTATCACAGCCAAATCACACTCTTCCCCTTCCCCTTGTTAACACCCCCAAATGCAATACAATAAATCATAGATTTATAAATTAAAGCTTAAATTATACCTTTAGATACATGAACCAAATCCCAGGGTTGAGAAATAACCAAAGGAGCATACATGTAGTTATCAGCCATCAAATAATCCCCAATTTTACTAAACAATTTCTCATCATTTCCTTCCAAGGGTTTACTATCTTCTTCAATTCCTGAAAATCGAAACAAAATCCATTAAATCAAATCAATTAATCAAACGAAGTTCAGGAACAGAATAACTTACCGGAGGAGAAACTGGAAGAACATAAAGGCGCGAACATGAAAGTATCAGATTTGAGATAATCGATAACTTTGTTGAAAAATTGCTTCCGTTTGGTACTACTGTGTTTCTTCATTGGTTTCTTCTTCAAGTGTACTGCTGAGAGAAACGTCGATTCCTTACCCATTTTTGCGAAAATTGAAAGAGATTTGCCGGAATAAGGTATACAAGGAGGAGTAATATCGCCGGTGGAAGTTGGGCGGTTATGAAGGTGAATACAACACTTGGCAAATAATAGAGAAGCCATCTGGCAAAGGAAAACTAAACTTTAATAATAGCACGTGGCTATTAACGAAAAGCTGAAAGAAGTATTGAAAGTGTTACCCCTAAACTTGGGGAGTATTTAAGATGTATTTCACTCATATTATAAGAACAAAGTACCGTTTAGTTTTAGTTAGTCAAGTAATGAGATGTTTATCGTGTTTTTAAAGTTGATAATAGTTTAAGAATGAAACTAATAATTCGCGTCGAGTTTAGTGGTCAGTTTTCAATTCTTCTTATTATTTTATTTTAATTTAATTTTTTGATTGTGTTCGATACCCTTATTGAGCCCTAACTAATTCAAATTTGTAGTAATTGATAGGGCTCATACAGGATAACGCTTCCTATCAAAAAAAAAAAAAAAATCATATCAAAGGCTCCCATTCGAAACTTTTGATTCGGAGAGGGACAGTTCCTGCACCACTATCTTTTGGTGGTTATATTTTTTGTTAAAGTTTGATGTAATTATCTAAATCGATCATTTGATTTTTATTGCTTTCTTTCAGATTTTAATATGTTTGGTTATGATTATTGTTTTTAAGTGTGTTTAGTCTCCTCAATTTTTGTAAGTATAGTTGAGAAAATGACCAAAATAGTCTTTATCGTATGAGTAATGTTTTATTTTGGTCCTTAATGTATTTGATTGAAATGGTCATTAGAGTCTGTTTGGATTGGTTTAAAAGTTGATTAAACATACTTTTAAATTTTGAAAGTGTTTGACAAAGTAAATATAACTTAAAATAAATTTAAAATGCCTTTTAAAAAGTTAAAAAAAATAGGTCTTCCCTTCTTTTTATTTTTTTTGACTTAAAGTCATTTAAGTTTGACTTATTATTCTTTGATTGTAAAGTTATTTTTTTAAGTCAATCCAAACAAGCTCTTAATGTATAACAAATGTGTTCATTTTGATACTTACTACATTTCACTTAATTAACATGACTTTAATTGTCACGCCCCGAGCCTACACCCTGGGCGGGACCGGCACTCGGAGACCATTGTCGGCCCCAAGCGAACCCTTGGCCTGGCCTTCTTAACTCAGCGGAAACCTGACTCAACAGAATAACTCAATGCCATGCAAAGACATAAACAACTTAACTGATAAAATATGGCCCAAAGGGCAACTCGAGTCTCAAAATAGAATATTTACATATATACATAGATAAGAGACTCAAAACTAACT